AAGATCCTCAATTTAGTTCTCTGCCAGCACCAGAGCCGAGGCGATCCTCAAGGGAGAGAAGACCATCCACTCGGTATAACACCGAGGAATACGTTATTCTCACGAATGAGGGGGAGCCACAAAGCTATAAAGAAGCAATCAATGATATTCATAAAGAAGAGTGGAGTAAAACCATGCAAGAAGAGATGCAATCCTTGCATGAGAACCACACTTATGACCTTGTGGATCTACCAAAAGGGAAAAGAGCCTTGAAGAATAAGTGGGTATATTAAATCAAGACCGAAGATAGTAGCTCAAAGCCTCGGTACAAAGCTCGATTAGTTGTCAAAGGATTCGGTCAAGAAAAAGGCATCGACTTTGAGGAAATATTCTCTCCTGTGGTAAAGATTTCCATCTATCCGAGTTGTCCTTGGCCTCACAGCGGTGCAAGATTTGGAGATTGAACATCTCGATGTCAAGACAGCGTTCCTTCACGGTGACCTAGAGGAAGAGATCTACATGGAGCAGCCCGAGGGGTTCAAAGTTTCGGGTAAGGAAAACCTAGTATGTCGCCTCACAAAGAGTTATATGGTCTTAAGCAAGCACTGAGGCGGTTGTACAAGAAGTTTGAATCCTTCATGGATGAGAATGACTTTACAAAGACGAAAAGCGATCATTGTGTCTTCATAAAGAGGTATGAACGTGGCGACTTTCTCATACTTCTACTCTATGTTGATGATATGTTGATCGTTGGACAAGATCGCGTAAAAATAGATGCCTTGAAAAAGGATCTAAGCAAGAGTTTCACCATGAAAGATTTGGGACCGGCTAAACAAATTCTTGGGATGAGAATAACTCGTGATAGATCGAAGAAACTGTTGTGGCTATCCCAAGAGAGGTATATTGAGAAAGTGTTGGAACGGTTCAACATGAACAAATCAAATTCGGTAAACACGCCACTTGCTGGACACTTCAGGTTGAGTTCGAAGAAAAGTCCCACAAGTGAGAAAGAAAAGGAGGAAATGAAGAAGATTCCATAGTCATCTGTAGTAGACAGTCTCATGTATGCAATGACATGCACAAGACCAGATATCGCGTATGCAGTTGGAGTCGTTAGTCGTTTCTTGGCCAACCCCGGGAGTGAACATTGGGTAGCGGTCAAATGGATCCTTCGGTATTTACGTAGAACTTCCAAAAGATGTTTATGCTTTGAAAAAGGAAAGCCCGTGTTAGAAGGATACACAGATGCAGACTTGGCTGGTGATATTGATTCAAGGAAATCAACATCGGGATACCTAACTACTTTTGTAGGGGGAGCTATTTCCCGGCAATCAAAACTGCAGAAGTGTGTTGCATTATCCACCACAGAGGCAGAGTACATCGCAGCTACTAAAGCTTGCAAGGAGATGTTGTGGATGAAGAACATGTTGCTCGAGCTGGGAATAGATCAAGAAAGGTACGTGTTGAAGTGCGACAATTAAAGTGCAATTTACTTGGCGAAGAACTCAACATTTCATTGCCGCACGAAGCGCATTGACACAAGGTATCATTGGATCCGAGAAGTCCTCGAAGAAAAGAAATTGCATCTTGACAAGGTTCACACAGACGAGAACTGGTCAGACATGATGACCAAGGTAATACCGACAAAAAGTTCAAAGATTGCTGTCAAGGTGCAGGTTTGCTACAACCCCCCAATTAAGTCGGGAGGGGGAGATTTGTTGGGATCCCTCCTTAATTGGAGAGGTTCTAGAAAAATTCAAGAGCTTTCTAGAGAAGTATAAAATTTTCTAGAACGTTGCGGAGAATCCTAGAGAAATCTAGAACTCTCTAGAAGCTTGCGGAATAGTGTTGAATCCTCTAGAATATTCTGGAGATGTGTGGAACCTTCCGGAAGCTTATGGAAGAGTATGGAAGCACATGGAAGGGAATGGAGAGGTGTAGAGATTCCTTGGAATTCTCTAGAATAGGTAGTCATGTGTAGATCATTCTAGAGAACTATTCTCCACCACTCATTATGGAGGTGGAGTAATATAAATAGGAGTAGGAGTCTCCATTCCTAACCATCCTAGCAATCCTAGCAAGAGAAAAGTCACTTCCTAGAGTGAAAAAGCTAGAGAGTTAGAGAGCCTCTTTGAGAGAGAAGAGAGTTAGCTTGGGAAGTTCATATCCCCAAGCTTGAGTGAGCCACCATTGAGTGAGACAATTTTGTAACATCCTTGTAAATCCTACTATTCTTTTGTATAGTGGAAGAGTCTCCATATTGGAGAATTTAAGTCGTGTGCTCCCATTACCACCTTAATTCCTAAGTGCCTATCTTAACTTCACGAAGCGGGAAAAGTCCGAAGTTTTTCCCAACACACTCATGTCCGAGCTCTCACCCCGACTTTCGATTACAGTAGCCGGCGAGTTCCTGGTGAGTCTCACGGGAAATCCTTTGAAATCCGAAGGAAGTGTGAAGATTTTGGACGCTATTCTTTCCTTTACAATTTTGGTTTGAAATCCATGGAAATCCTTAGCAATCCAAGTGTTATAAAAGGGAAAAATACAGCAATATGAATAAAAGACAGAGTCTTTCCCATATTATGAGTAAAAAACTTGTTTGACGGAAATATGACTAAAATTCATACCGGTCTCTTAAACTCCAAATACAATGACTTGATTGCCCTCACGTGTTTGTCTTTGTAGAGTTTAAACAAAAAAGGAGTTTCCATGTAAAACGGAAAGACATCTATGACTTGAATGAGGATAGCAGAGTAGTGGATCCGATGCAGCAGTGAATAACGACACCGTCGCTTGGTGACGGCGGAGCAATGGATGCAGTCAAGATGAAGGACAACACCACACCGATGACGGTGGAGCAGTGCAGTGAGGATACAAATTTAAGGCATTATTACCGGATTGTGGGCATTACACTCTTTATAGGCGTTTTCAAAAGTAAAATAAGGAATCAAGATTCAAAGGAGTAAGGCATGAATTTTTTTAATGAATCGGAAGAGGTAGGAAATAGAAAGTGAAATGATTGGGCATTAGTTTAATGCAAAACAATAAAAACTAATGAAAAGAGGGGCAATAAGTTGGTTATGCAATAAAATTGGTCATTAAAAGAATAAAATGATAGTAATTTTGTTTACGTGGTGACATTGGTCAGTTAAAATAAGAGAGGGCGGTAAGTTTATTATGCAGTAATATTGGTCATTAAAAACAACACAATGATAGTAATTTTGTTTCAATAGTGAACTTGGTCAGTTAAAAATAAGAGAGGGGCAATAAGTTGATTAAGGAGTAACATCGGTCAGTAAAATGATATTTTTTCAATAAAAAGGACAGTAAATAGTTTAGTACGAGTAGTGGTTAGGAGCAATAAAAAACAGAGCAGTGGCCTAGTATGACATTTATGGAAGAGCAAATGAGCAATATGACTGTATAAAAAATATAATGCAACGGTTACTGAAATCTAACAAAATTAAGATTTTTTTTGAAGTATGTAACGGAATTAAGATAAGCCCTACTTTTTAGGATTAGTGATTAATACGGTTGTATGATCGTGAGACGTGAGTACTTGTATAACCGAAAAATAAGCAAAGAGAAGCTTTCCATCTATATCTATGCAGCGTGTATGTGAGGGTAGCGGTGGAAATTAATAGTAAAATTAAAAGACTTTGCATCTCATTCACGCATAAACTAGGGAAAAAAGTGTTTAGGTCATAGATTGGGAATTAGATGTTCTTTTAGTCATATGGAGGATTCTTTTAGACTCCAGCAGATTCTACACTGATGACACAAGAATTCTACAAATCTTTTAAAATCCTATGGATTCGTAATTGAGGGCACCCTTAAACCCCTTTATACAATGTTGACTAAAAGGCTAAAAAGCAGTACTTAGTGGCATGATTTACCGACTATTTTTCCGAAAGATTATCTTTGATCAGGTAATTATCGGTCAAATGGCTGGGTGGTAGTCTGACAAATGAGCAATTATGTTTAAATTTTCTACTTCGTACTTTGAAAATGAAATAGAAAAAAGAAGGGGGTTTTCCATGAATATTGCTAAACTAAAGCCAAATTCTAAAAATGTTACCACATTTACATTTGGACAAAAATGTGAGTAAGATGGTTATATATTTGGAAAATTATTAGGGGTGGGCAAAAATACCGAACCGGCATGGTACCGAATCGAACCGGCATGGTACCGATCCGAAAAACGGGGTTTGATACGGATCTCATTTTTTTTTGTCCCGAACCGGACCGTACCGGTTCTAAACAATGCCGCCATGACCGGTTCTCATAAAATGAGAATCGCCACCGGACCGAACCGGACCAAAGTATTTATAATTAATTAAATTTACATTTATATCATTACTTTGACTAGTGCCTTCACACTTTCAGCGCCTTTGCTAGTTCATAGGAAGCCTGAAACCGGATCGATGTAAGGTTTAATTATTTAAATTAGTACTACTATAGTTTATCTGAAATTTATTAATTATGTAATACTACCTCAGTTACAAATCGATTTGAAAAATTAACTTTTATTGATTAAATAGTTTCATTTTATTCACTTAATGGGGATGTCAATTTTTAATTGTATTTAATTTCGAGTTTGCAACTTTGAAGAGATTTTAATGTAGTTTTTGAATATGTAAATTTTAATTGTTAAAAATTGAATTAATTATCAATAAAGAGGATTTAACTTTAACATTGGTTGACAAAAAAAATATTGACTTTGCATATAAATTTGGGACGGAGGTAGTATGAAAATGGATAAATGGTGTGGATTTTTGAAGGATGACTAAACTTTAATTTTCCCTTAAACATTTGAAAAAAATGACATTATTTGGTATTGATATGACATGGTATCGTCCCGTTTGAAAATGGAACCGTACTGAATGGATTTAGGTCTAAGACCGAACCGAAACGTTTAAATAGTAACGATACAGGTACAAGTTCGGCTAAATATTGAATCGGACCGAACCACGCCCATATTTATAGAGGTTCGGTTCAAAAAGGAACTCCGTATTTATACATTTATACCCATATTTTCCAACCGCAAGAAAAATGAGACCTACAAAAAAAAAAAGAATCTACTCCGTATTAAAACTTGCAAGATTGTCGGAAAAGGAGGAAACTTTCTGGAATTCCGTTCTGAATTCTTTTCATCCTAATTGCAATTCAGAGATCAAACCAGAAATCCATCAATGAGATGCACTCCTCTTCTGGGAAGTATGAGAAGGGCATCAGGCTTGCGGGAGACGAACAAGGCGGCAGAAACCACGAACCACGGCAAAATCGTTAGACGCCTTAGCTTCACGGCGTCCCGAGACTGGTTGTACCGCCACTTTTTCGCGTTCTGCGGCCTCCGCTCCGTCACGACTGATTTCGGCGACGGGACGAAGATGCATTGTTGGGTTCCCAAGTCTCACAACGAATCCAAGCCAAACCTGCTCCTTTTGCACGGATTCGGAGCCAATGCCATGTGGCAGTACGGCGACATCCTCCGCCACTTCATCCCCCGGTTCAATGTCTACGTCCCTGATCTCCTCTTCTTCGGCGGATCCTCCACGACGCTGCCGGAGAGAACGGAGGAGTTCCAGGCCCTGTGCGTGATGAAATTGATGGATACGGTTAGGGTGCAGAGGATGAGCCTTGTGGGGATAAGCTACGGCGGATTCGTAGGGTACAGCATGGCGGTGCAATTTCCCAATGCGGTTGAGAAGGTGGTGCTGTGCTGCGCTGGGGTTTGTTTGGAGAAGAAGGATATGGAGGAAGGGTTGTTTCAGGTGGCAGATTTGGACGAGGCTGCTGATATCCTGTTGCCGCAGACTCCGGAGAAGCTCAGGGAATTGATGCGTTTTTCCTTTGTTAAGCCTGCCAAAGTTGTTCCTACATACTTCCTTACAGATTTCATTGATGTGAGTTTTCTGTTCTTAATAAAATCCACCAACCCATTCTTACTACTGTTATTATTGTGGAATTAATTAACTACTAATATTGTTTTCATTGTGTGACAGGTGATGTGCACTGAGTATGTAGAAGAAAAAAGGCAGCTCATTCATGCTATTCTCCAAGACAGACACCTCTCCAACCTTCCCAAGATCACACAGGTTGATATGATTGCCATTTCATCGAGATTATTATCAACAAGAGTCTAAAACTAGACTAGAACCCACTTTGTTAAGGGTAAACTTTCCTGGAATGGCTTATGCAGTCGAATTTGCCCAAATTGTGATTTTTATGATTATAAAGAGCCCATTTGGTGACTCTGTTTTTTGGCTTATCAGACTTATCAACCAACTTTTTAACCAAACGTGTAACTTTTGATTTCACGCGCTGGATAGTGTAATAATAAGAAAAAGTAAGGTTGAAGTTAGTAGGTGACCATTTTAGCTATTTTTCCTATAATTTTTTCTTTATTTTATTAATAAAATATATTTTAAACATATTTTTTCATAAATCAGCAGAATCGGTCAAAACAGCCATTGCAGCCAGAACTTCATAAATTTCTGCAGAATCAACTGATGCAACCGATTTCAGTGTTACCAAACGGGTTCAAAGTATAAATGACTTGAGATTTGTAGTGTCTAACAGTGTATTCATAATAAGTTAAAGAAAATGATAATTGAAAGAGGAAGGTATGAGATCCTCTACCATATGGTAGAGAAGCCTGGTGCACTTGAACTGCCAGATGAAAGGAGCTAGGGTCTCGAGATTTGTGCTAATATGGACCCGCACATCCAGGCAGAGAGGCTCCAACTCCATTGCAATTGAAGCAGTTCTTTTTGCTCTGGTCATTTGAGAAAATACATTTTCTGCTCAATCCAGAAGCAGTAAAGCACAAGTCCTAAGTTGTAGAATATATCTGGCTAATAGGACTTGTAAAATGGGAAAAATGTTCTAACAAATGGGCACTTAGTTTATATAAATCATTCATAGTAGTCATCTTATCTCCCTCTTCAAAATGTATCCAGAGGACACTGATAATATGGGGAGAGCAGGACCAGATCTTTCCTCTCGAATTGGGGTACAGGCTTCAAAGGTAACATATTCCTTCTAAAAACAATGACGTCCCACTTGGTGTTTTATTTCTTATTTAAAGTTTAAACATATATTTGGTTTCATTTTTTTCTCGAACAAAATACAGGCACATTGGAGAAAAGGCTAAACTAGTAGTGATAAAGAATGCAGGGCATGCTGTCAACCTTGAGAAGACAAATGAGTTTGCCAAACACTTGAAGGCTTTTCTTTTTGATTCTTTGTCTACACAATGATTGTGTTAAACCCAGAACATATTGCAACCTTCTGTATATTGTGTAGTTTATTCAATTGATCTTGCTATTTGCGTTTGTGTGTAATTACTTCTACATTTTGAAGTATATTCAAGTGATCTTCAAAAAGGATAAAAGCATATCAATTTGCTTTAAATAGGACTACAAACACAATTATTATAACTTATACGTAGTATATTAGATTGCCCAAAATACATTTTATTTGTAAAACCATATATATAACTTTTGACGCCGTAGAGGCGTAGAGCGATCACCACCAGTCTACCGGACTATTCCTGACAACTACCAGTACTGTTGGACCTTTGGAAAACCTTTGATCATAAATGCCAACCCTAATGTTAAACTCTAAAACCTAATGATATTTTAGACTAAAATTGTTATACTTCCACACTGGATTACACATGTTAAAACTTAAGACTTAGTATATGTTTGATACAACTAGCTGAAAAGATACTTTTATGAGTTTTTTAGTAACTGTTAGTTTTTAGTGACTGAAAAGATCTTAAAAAGAAAAGGTAGTAGTTGTTTGGTAAAAAGTCGACTCTTTGATTTAGCTCTGTTTGGTATACAAGCTTTTAGGACTAATTAATGCTAGAAGCTATGGACTTCTCTGAGATGCTACTCACTATAGCATCTCAAAAAAGATCTTTTATTTTTATAAAAGCTCTTAAAAATTGGCATGTCAAACATATAACTAGAAGCTTTTAAAGACTTTTTAAATACTACAAAAGCTAGAAGGCAGGAACTTATACCCACCAAACATACAATTATGAATGTTTTTTAATAATAAATTTTGATGTTCCCAAATGAGAAAAAGTCTAGAGGGGGTGAATAGACTTTACAATCTTTTCGATTTATAATCCATTTTTTCTCTAATGGAGTGATTTCCAATATCTTTTGGAAGATATTGAAACGTACAACGGAAATCTTGACATCATATGATGCGACACTTTATAGTAACAAAGGTGACACTTTATAGTAACAAAGGTTATGACCCTTTTAGTTTGGTGGAAAATGGTTTAAACAATGACGTGATGTGTTTGTCAAAATCAGTGGCCTCATTCAGCAGCCAACTATGACAAGGTTACCGCTAGAGTATTTTAAACATAGTGTGATGCTATAATCTTGAAATACTTTAAGGGTTTTTGAGTTGATGAAGCACATAAGAATGAAGGATTTTGACCTGCCGTGGAAAAGGTTTTTTCAATGCAACGATGAAAACAAAAGGACTAGATTACAATGAACTGGGCAGTTCACTGGTCACTGGTTTAGTAAGTTTGAGTGTTTGGACAAATTTGAGAATGAGCGAGGAATGTTGGTGATGTGAGAACTGAAAATAAAGGATGACACAAAATATATCCTAGTTCAGAGGTAGTGTAATCCTTTTACATCCAGTCCCACCCTCGAGATGATGGATTTCCACTAAATGAATATTCCCATTACATTTAGTGCACAATCTACCATTGGCCGCAGACGTAGATCGTGAGGTTTTCACGAGGAATCAAGGCACCATTCCAAACTACTCAGTCATCGAAAGTTTTTCACTAATGGCATTGACTTGCCAAAAGTTACTCATGTCCTTAATCTTCACTCACACACTTTTCTGGATTTGATCACAAAGCCCTCCGGAGATTACAAGCTAGTTTAGTTTACAATGGTAAATCTAAACCTCCAACTAACTAAGCTCTAATGATATATCTGTATATAAACTATTCTAAGAGCTTAGAGGAATGGGGTGAGAATTAAGAATACGAGTGATGATCAACACTTGCTCCTTTGCTGGATAGGTTGTATATGTTCGTTTTTCCTTCTTAGTTCTCACATACTCCTTCTGTATTTATAGACTGGATTATTGAATATCTCTCGTTGGTCAAGAAGATTCAATCTTGATCATTGATAGATCCACTTGGTGACTATGAGGTAGCATGGTTGATTCTTGTCTTTGTATGGCACGAGTTGTGACTCTTTTTTCAACTTGTTTTCTGAATTCTGCACTTCATAGCATGTGGCTAAGATAAACTTTTGATTTAATCTTAGTCGTAGATTGAAAATATTTGGTATGATATTTCAGATTAAGTTGTTTGCCGTTTGTTCAATGCTTTCTCAATTTAGGTCCCTTGCTTTCTTTAGTGCAAAAATAATAGTACTAATAATTTCTACAAACAGTAAAAATTATTGTGAAATTTACGTACTTTTGCCTTTCTTTTTAGACTGCTTAGTGGGTCCTCATGGTCATGTGTTGTATTTTGATTTGTTTTGTAGAGAATAATAAAATGAGTAACTTAAACTGATTTCAGTGGCCTCAGATTTCTTGGTTGAATGGAATCAGTAGTCCGCTGATATTTTCGGTCTCACTTACCAGTAGGCTACTGGTTGGCATTTTTCAGGAGGCTATTGTCTGAGCCCTTTTCAAGGGACTCAGTTTACTCTTTTTCGTACCTCTTTTCTTTTGTTTTATTCTTTTTTTGTTATGGTACATTTCTTTTCTTTGTTCTTCTCTTTTTATACTCTTCTTTTGTTCTTCGTTTTCTTCATTTAATTACTTTTCTTTTTCAAAATAATGCAACAAGATGCAAAACACTACAAACCAAGTTTTTCTTTGTCTAATACAGTGTGGCATCATTAAAACTTAATCATCAAAATCTAGGGGACTAACAAATTTAGATAAGTTGTGTGGAAATTGATAATCAATTTAGTCCTATATTTTTCTAAAAATGATAAGTTTTAGGCCACTAACTTTGTAATGGTTTAGGAATTCATGGTATTGATGGGTGATGATGATAAGTATCGCACGGTATTATTTAGGAAATTGTATTTAACAACTAACATAGTCGTGTACTTATTTTTATGAAGCTAACAAAAGTCACCATAGAAACTGTAATGTGTAGGTGGTATACATTGATAATGTTAAAACTTGAAAGATTATAACATTATTAAATACTACGTATTTGATAATTGTTGTCATCTCACGAATAGATTTGCACAAACAACATATAAACGCACACAATGCATAAAATCTAAGAAGTTTTTCACTATAGGATTTGAAAGATAGTTAAGTATCAATATAGGATAGGATCTGAAAAATGAAAATTAATGATATAGAAAGTTGATGTTTTTCGTTTTTCATTGAAAATATAGCTGGCCATCATTCCATCAATGTGTCTTCATAAAATAAAATTTGGAATTGGAATTGTCACTAATGCTTAGAAGACTAAAAGTGGAACTATTTTAGGAATGCATGCTTAGATTCACACTCAATAATGAGACGCATGACAAGAGCTTTGAAGCCTAAATCTATAGCCTTCATATATAGCCAAAGTAAACATATGCATGGATTCCTCAAAGAAATATACTCTCCCCCAAAAAGGTCGTGTGTGAGTATGGTAAAATATTTTACTTTTAGAAACTTGTGGCACAAACTTTACTCGTATTAAATAGTCACTTATATGTACTTCTAAAACTTATTTCCAAGATTGCTTGGAGCAATTGACTAAAACCATTAACAGTTGGACTTTTCAGGACTCTTGAAATATGACTTCTTTTTTCTAGGTTTTCCCTTAAATACTATGGAAAATAGAAACTAATAAAACCTTTTAGCGGTCTTCTTACAATAGTCTCACCTTTTCGTTATTCAGGAATAATCCAACATTTGCGCCTCATCTTCATTTGCTGGTCCGCCCTGACCGATTGATGACCTGCTATTCCAAGTTATTTTCTTATCTTTGTAATATATTATACCATAAATCCCACTTTATAGTCACATAATGTTTTGCAAAGATAAGAAAATAACTTGGAATAACAGGTCATCAACCGGTCAAGGACCACTGAATGAAGATGGGGTGAAAAGGTTGGATTATTCCCGAATAATGAAAAAATGGGACTATCGTAAGAAGACAACTAAAAGGTTGGATTGAAACAAAATTTATGAAAAATAATGTGACTAATGTTACTACAAATATATTATCAAAGTACTACCGTGTAGAAGTGAATTTAGTCATGGTCACTAAAGTTCCATTATTAAAAAATTGATCTTGAATTAGAGCCTCGCTCAAATGTGTAAGAGTAATTTTATATGATTAGAGTCCTATTACGTGTATTAGAGTCTCATTATTTAAAGAATTTGATGTTGTACACTTATTTTGGAAACTGAATTGATATGGTATTTATTCCGAGAAATATACTCTATTAATATGGTGTATTAAGCGGTTATTCTATTCGTTTGATATAATATATATGATCTGAATTTTTTAAGACCTAGTCTGATCTGAATTTTTTCAAGAGTTCCGCAATATGTATCTTTCTGATCTGAATCTTTCCGATCTGATTTGATCTGAGTTTTTTTTATTTTAATTTGATTTGAATCATTCCGATCTGATATAAATATTTTTTTATTTGATTGAGTGTTTATTAGTACTATTAAGTTATTATTATGAATATCATTGTAATTATTATCATTCATATTTATAATTATAATTATCATTATAACAATAATTGTAAATGTAATTATATTTACAATTATAACTATAATTATAATTTTATTTTATTTTATTATCATTATAGTTATCCTTATTTTATAATTATGATTATCATCATAATAAACTTTATTAATAAATAATACTATGTAGTATTACTATTCTAATTAAATTATAGATACCAACCGTGCTTGATGTTTGTACAAAAGAGAAAGAAATAATATTAATCACAAATTAGTTGCTTCGAAAAAATGTACTAGTAGCAAAGATTTTGAGAACAATGTACGTCTTTTGCGCAAGATGTACGACCTTTTTATTTTAATCCATTGCAATGATTTTATCTATGCTCCTCATCAAAACTTATTCAGAGGACGTGGATAATATGGGGAGAGCAAAACTGGAATTGGGGTACATGCTTTAACTGTAACATTTTCATTCCAAAAGCAGCACTGGAGTATATAAAAAGGGACATAAACTGAGTATTCATTTTCGCATTTATGGTACTAACAAATATATCATGTTGTCTTATGAGAATTTTATTTAATAACTTATATAGATGCATTTTATTTATTAAGCTAACAAAGTCACCATAACCAAATACAAATATTAGGAACATACAAAACGAATATCATTAATGCTTGATCAAGCTCATTTTTAATTATTTCTGATTTTCTGGTGCATGCACACACTTGCAACTTCAACTTCTGGGTGATGTCGAAATCTTGGGATGTGCAGCCACAACTACAGATTCAACTTCTGGGTGACGTCGAAATCGTGGGATGTTGATAAAACCGGATCCTGTTCATTCAATCATCATATTTAGAAGAGAGCTCTTTGTATCTACATTAGAGCAGATATTGGCGTATGATGTGTGTGGACACAATGTTAAGACTTGCGGTTCAGTCGGTCAATCTAATAAGAGAAGTAGTACAAGGCCTTATATATTGATTTGTATATGGATATCTGGCCGTGTGCGATGAATTAATATTGAATACCTGAACCAACTTGCGGTAGAAGGGATTGAGAGAAGGCAAGCATCCAATTCCAACATTAGCACTTTTAATGGACTGGTGCATGTAATGCATCAACCCACTGTATGTTACGTTTACATTTTCCTTTATTGCTTTTATGAATGTATATGTCATTGCTCCGTTCATATATTTCCCTTCGGAAAAAGCCTGCATCAAAATTTTCCTTCAGAGGAATTTGAATTCAAAGAGGAGCAAATGAAAGAAGTGATGAAGAAATGTATATTTATGTATTACAGAAGTATCAGCAGCCAATTGATGATCCTCACAAGCACTAAAACATATCGCCTTTCCACCATTTGTGCCCTTATAAGTACGGCTTGGAGGTTCGTTATTAGTCCATCTCTTTCTAATTTCAGAAAACAAAAACAAATAAGTGCAACTTAGGTAGGGTATGCTTGGATGGATGTGTTTAGAGTCTAAGTTTGTATCTTTATACATTTTTTAAAAAATTGAATAATAAGCAACATAAAACTTGAGCATTAAACATGATAAACATTCTTTATTCTCTTTTAGAAATCTTTATACTTGAAGAAGTGGACTAAAGACTAAATTCTAGAAAGCCTTCCCTCTAAGGCTCTAAAACCCTTCACCCAAACCCATCCTTCGATGGAAGATTTTGAAAAAATAAGATTTTGGAGAGTAAGACTGGAGGACTGATAAGTATATGTTTTTTCTAAATATTCCATGTAATTTTTCTCTAAATGAGAAAAATCAAATAATCCATTGAAGATAAGTGTACATTCTTTTGGTACATTTCTTAGCTACATTCAAATGTGGCATGCAGTTATTGGACGTCGAAAAGTTATAACCTTTCATCATCCGATAGATAGTTAGATACATGCCACACAAAAATGTACTATAGAAATGTATACATATCCTTACTCTAAATAATCACCTACTACGTCGAAAAGTTATAACCTTTCATCATCCAATAGGTAGTATGTTATTGCTTCAAATTTGATAGCATCTCATATATATATGAATCAAGATATAGACTTAGCCTACAAACCACTCCCTTAAAAAGCATACGTCCAAACAGACCCTTAAAGTTGTATTATGTGTCCTCATTGATCATGTTGAAATTCAAGGGTGACAAACACTAGGCTATGAGAATATATACGTACTCATTGCGGCTGTAAATGCGAGGTAAATCAAGAATGGTGCCACTGTGGCAGGCATCGACAATGGCGTGGAGTTTGATTCCTTCTTTGAGTGGTCTGACAATGATATCATTGATGGCGTTGTCTGGTATCATCCCTTCACTCTTGAAGTCGAGAGGGCAAATGGTCTCATCAAATCCATCGATCTCATCTCCCTCAAGCTCCCGCTGTCTCAATCCATGTCCAGAGAAGTAAAACACCACCGAGTCCCCTGCCCTCAAGTTCCTCATCAGCCATTTGAAACCTTCCAATATATTTTTCCTTGTTGGTTCCCTGAAGGGCTCTTCCTCTGCATGTTAGGCATCTCTTCGACTAAGCATGTCACACAACAAAAGATGTGATCTAATGCTACATTTACTCTTTGAAGTCTTAGTCACTCCCAGACCGGTTTTATTTTATGGCCTAGGAGCAATACTAAGGTGTGTGCCTATCTCAAAAAAATGGTCGTGAACTCCATACTATAATGGGATAAGTTGAATATTTAAACAAAGGTACACAAGATTCAAATAAAATTTAAAACGTATCACCTCTGTTATTTTAAATGGAGGCAGATTCAATCTGGGAAGTTTTCTCAATCGACACTAGACTTATCGGTTCTACACTCTATTTTAGACTTTTTTCTTTAAGTGGTTATCTCCATAAATTTTTACAATAAACACAAACATGATTGAGTTTAAATGAACAAAAAAGTAACGTACTCACTAATTCACATCATACACATACAAAATTATCAGGCCTATTTTTTCGTATTTATGGGCCTAAGGCTGTCACCCTTGACCACCCTCTAAGACCAGCCTTTGTCACACACCCACATTTATCATCTCTCGTCTTAGTTGGACCCACTCTTGCTCGCCTCCACGTCTAACATCAATGACCGAGATGTGTTTAGAGAGTATCTAACATAAATAAAAAAGGAATGAACATTCTAATAAGTGTCCATTGGTTCTTTGGAGCTCTTTTGAATTGAGTTTATGTATAAATTCTAATCAAAGTGTTATATATATATATATATATATATATATATATATATCCTATGAAACATCTCCGCAGTATTTAACATGGTGCCAAAACAAGTTTGATTTGTGATTCTGATGTGGGTTTTTACAATGATAAACATGGACAGATGGACTGTATGTATATATTTAGCTATGAGGTATGTGCCCGTATGAAAAGAACACCTTGAATCATTAATATAAGACTCCTTTTTTTTAGATTCTTGTAAAAAATCATTCTTGCAATGTATACCACTTATTTTTTAGACCTTCTCTTGCTTTGTGATAATTGTCATTTAGAAATAATGTCTATCCGTGATATCACTCAAGACTTTCCAAGTTAAGGCTTTAAAAGTTCTTGAATAATATTAGCAGAGTTAAGGTCAAGTGAAACTAATCTTTCACGTTTTCTAGTAGGATCGTTATGTATGTGGTAAAATGCATAAACTGTGCATTAGCTATTGGTATCGATGCATTTTGGTACCTTAACTCTTAAATGAAGAAAATTGGTATCACAGCTACTCTTAAATGTTTCAACTGGCGATACCACTCGAAATTCCAGCCATTTTTTTTACTTAGTTTCATTTATTCGCCAACTGAAAATGAATGTTTAAATGATAAGTGTCTCACTTAGCTTATTGAGAGCTTTTGGGGGTTGAACTAGATAGCTAGCTCAACCTTAATTACCCTTAACAAAACATTTCTATGAATTCAGAAATTCTTCCATAAAATTATACCTGCAAGAATAAGAATGGAGGCGGGTTGAAAGCCAAAACGTTCAACCAGTAAATCCCTCATGCTCTTCACATCCAGGAGAGTTCCTCTAAGCTTATATTTCTCCTTCTGATATGTCACTCCGCAGAGAAGCGCCCGCTTCCCGTATGGCGTATCCTCTTGTATGTTAAACGATACACCGTTCGGTCTAAAACTGAAAGAGAAAGATTTAGGACTTCCAGATGATGAACTCTTCTTCCTCAAGATGCTTCCAAATCTTCTTCTTCCAGAACTGGTATTCCCTACGGCTTGGGTGATTATTCCCCCTCGTCCCTCAGCATCCCCAAGTAGTGAAATGGATTTCTGGCATTTTCTGCAGTAAGCTCCATCATGGAATCCCCCTACCAGTTCCTTCTCACATCTCTTGCAAGCTTCCATTGCAATTTATATTAGTTTTTCTCGAGCTCTGCCTCTCTGCTTACTGAAGGGCTCTCAAGAAGGGAGGGTGCATGGAATGCAATATATTGACCTTGTTATTTAACCACGCTGAATCAATAATATTCTTCAACCTACCTTATTGGTGAAGATCTTTAAAAGAGGAGAATCAATGCTTCATTTGAACGAAAGCACCTTTCACCCGCACATTCCCCAAAAAACCATGTTCCAAACATTTTATTTTGTCAAAAAAGGTGTCATATTTGGATAAATGAAACAAATATTCGTGGACTTTGCCAAAAAAAGAGACACTCTCAAGTTACTACTACTTAGGATAACTTTAGTAAAATAAAAAATACAGTTCAGAAAAATATAAATTATTCATGATTGTATGGTACATAGTTGTATTTGATGTAGCTTTTTTAAGAGATTGAGATAGCAGTTCTTGTTTAGCTTTTTGTGGTGCTACTATATTACCAGAATAGTGTTCCAACTTCCAATATTAAGTGTGAGGAATCAGATGCTGAAAAAGATGTTTGATTAGACGGGAAAAGTAACCATCAAACATATATTCGACCTTTATTTTGATCTGATCATCATCCTACAGGAAATAATAAATATGCAAATCATATTGCAAGTCTTTACTCACTTCCATTTTTGGAAATAAATCCATCCTAAAAGCAGCTACGATACATTTTAATAAAGTAAACAGTATTGCTACGGTACCAAAAATCTCATAATTTTTAAAAAATGTATAATAAACCTATAAATTATCTTAAGATACGTGAAAAGCCTACGGGGACACTTATTTTAACATGGAAGGAGTATGTGTTTAAAAATATGAAAGCAATTTTGGCTAGTGGATACTTCACTTCCAATCAATGGTCCGTGATTCGTGTTATTAGTGATTGGCTAAACGATTTCATATTTGATCATAAGGGATGTTTAAATTTTTGCACAAGATTCATGTATTATGCAATCTTGTTGTTTGATCAATGTAAGGTGTGTGTTTTGTAAATGATTACTCAAAAATAGTAAATGATTATGCACCATACTTCTTCAGTTAAGAGTACCAAAACTCATATACATCATAAATAGAGCAATGCCTGGTATAAACATTATTTGTACATATACATCTTATCTATATCACGTACATTTAGTATAAAATTACTGACAATTTCTGCATTTTTTTAGAAAATTGCCTAGATACAGATGAATTGCCCTGATAACAACAAAATGTACGAGAACGTGTGCACAAAAACTTGTACACATGGCATTTTCCTCATAAATAATAATGTAATGGCTTAGATGAGAACTTCAGTTCCAGGAATTAGAGATTAGAAGAAAAAATATTCTAATGATCGGAAATAGCCGAGACAATTATAGAATTCCTCATATTGTTGTACTCGGAGAAAATGGAATTGACTAGAGATTCTGCATCATCGCATACTCTTCTCCACCCAGCCAGGTTTATGCCATACTCAACACTTAACTTCTGTAACCTCTTTACATCACCTTCCACTTCACTCAGCTCAATGGCTTTCTCTCTTGAGATCAAACCATACAGATGGAGAGAGCAACCGGTGTTATTTTTATCCCCTTGAAGTGCCACCCGAAGTAATGAATTGGACTGAAGTTCGGTTGATGTCGGATCATACAACACCGTGAAGCAACCGAATCTGAGGTCGGGATTCTCAAATAGTCGGTCAATGTCCTTGCTTTCTTCACTGTCCGTTTTCTCAACAGATCCAATAGACTTCCTATTGGCTATTCTAAGAATGTGTGCTGCTTCCCTCATTCCACTTAAAAAAGCTCCATGCATAGTGGCGGGATATTGCCTATTCGTTGCTTCTCCGGCGAAGAACACTCGGTCTGCCACACTCTCGGCAAGAATATCATAGTCATCCCCTGAGGAACCAACCGCGACATAAGAATATGAGCCGTACGAGAACCGGTCCTGGCCCCATCGCGTACAGACCGACTGGATTGGGTCGGGAACTGCAATCCCTTTCGGGCTGAATATTCCCTTGAGGGTATCTAAAACCCGCCTGACAGATTCCAAAGGGGACATCTTCTCAAAACTTAATGCAGCCTCTCCAGCGACCAGAGCCACGAGGAGTGGCCCCCCCGATACAGCAGAGTAGCTGTAGAAGAGAAAGAACTCTCCCCTTGTGCTCGGGTCCTCGGTCAGGTGCCCGAATGTGTCGATCTCGCCGCCCCAGAAGTCATATGGGAAAAGAATTGCAACTTTGTTCAATAAACCGTACCCCAACCTATCGATTGCATCTTTCTTATGCTTAGGAAGGTCGGGGAAGAACTCTATGGTGCCTTTCTTTAGGACCCCTAAAGGGACGGTACAAAGAACCATGTCCGCACGGTATTCTTGATTGCCTGCGTAGACCAGAACCCCATCCGCACCATACCTAATGCTCTCCACCGTACGTTCATAAATTACCGGAACGTCCTCAACCAATGCCCTAACTAACCTCTCATTCCCGCCAGGAATAAAACAATGGTCTCCGCCCATTTCATAAGGATCGTCTTGATCCCAAAAGGCTAAGGACAACTCGGACATTAATGAAGCATTTGCGTACTCTAAATTTGCCAAATGCCAGTCTAAGAGCATTCGTTCTTGGGGATCTTCTGCCACTTGATAAACACTCCTAAACGTTTCTAAAGCAGCCCCTAAAGAAACATCAACTGACTTAACTTCTACCATCATTACTTCCCTTAGCTTACACACTCTGTCTAGCAATTTATTGAATGAGGTTTCAACCATGGAATCCATATCAGAATTCACTGTTTTTCCATCCGGTAAATAGAGAGGGCAGATGTCCCTGACCTTGTGGAGGGGAAGGCCGAGTTGCCTTGCCAGAACTCCGAGTGGGTTGCCATTGATTCCGGTCAGAACACTGCCACCTAAATCCGCTGCTGCGGTGGGTCCCTCCTGACAACCGGCCATTTTCTTTGATCTCACTCTGCCTCCTGGTCGGGTCCTTCCCTCAAGGACCACTACCTTAAACCCTAGAAAAATCAATTGTCTAGCTGCTACTAGACCTGAGAGTCCTGCACCTACGACAATCACAGTACCCTTGAAGATGCCCTCAGGTGGCTTCAGTTTGGTTTCTTTGATTGCCTGAGCGAGTCCGAAATTAATGTAGCCATAGTTGAGCAGGAAGGTGTAGGCGGAGTTGACGAGGTTCTTGTGTTCGGCTCGAATTGACTCTAAGGCGTGGTCTTTGGTGAGCCAGACAGAGACATTGGAGCGCCACCGTGCAAGGATGTGGTTTCGGACGACAATGTAGTTCGCTTGCTCTTCCCCGCCGATTTGGGACACTACATTGGCTTCGATTTCTTCCTCCGTGAGGGAATCGACTGGGAAACCGACGGAGATAGCAATTAAGGCTTCGATATCGACCTCTTTAGCAAGGTCCGAAACTCTCTTCCGGCGGTTAGGGTTCTTCGAAAGATCTTCTTTTGCGGCGGCGAGGTCGGTATCGGAGTACGAATACGGGGTAGAGGGATTGTAATTGGGGCGGCGGACGCGTAACCCTGATACAGCAGCAGCCGATGGGGCAGTGGAGATCATGTCTGTGAAGAATCTCTTCCGGCGGCGTCTCCTTTTGACCGGAGGCGGAACTAGGGTGGGTTGCGTTTGGAAAGATGGTTCCCTCGCTTCGGGAACGGGAAGCTGTTCTGGCGGAGAGTATGAAACAGTGTGGTCCGATATCGTACGTAGAGGCGAAGAATGGCCATTTTCTGATTGATGGGCGTTGGGTTCGGTGGCTTTCTCGTCGGAGATAACATTATCGGCGCTGTCCTGTTGCGGTGAAGTATCAACGGTTTCCATATGGGTGCAGAGTATTTGAGTCTTTCGTAGGTAAAGCTGCAAGCAAGACTGGAAGAGGGTTGCGCGTTAAAGAAGAGGGGCATATAGTATGTAACAATATACCAAGTAATATTTTACATAGATAAGTTCATAACTTTGGTAACTCTTATCAATCAACCTTTTTTATTAAATATAATTAATTTTTTATTTCGCGCGACAAATTGGGTAATACTCAAGATAAATAAATTTAAAATTATTTTTCTGATTGAATTTTGTATATGGATATTAAAAAATATAATTTTAAATATAATTTTTTCATAATTTAACATATTTAATCGTTAAAATTTTACTAATTTTAAAAGGTTCAATCAATTTCAATGTTATTAAACAGACCGTAAATCACAAAAAATATCTATATGACAAATTCTGCATCAAAATATATTATCAATCGAAAATTTTATGAACAAATTGCCCATACATGACTCCGTAAACATATGAAGAGTACGATACTATAGGTTCATGAACACCTATATTTGTTTAATGTGCTCTCTTATGGGTAAGAAGTGTACAGATTTCAATTTGGTGTTTTTAACACTACCATATTTTATCTATTATATATGATGGATAGTGTACCCAGGGGTAGCTTATCCGAGGGGTTATTGCGGGGAATAACTAGAGAGAAGTCAGAGCAAGTAAGTAGAGAGAGAGAGTATATTAGAAATGTATTCAGTGTTTTCAGCGTATTTTCTTCTTGGTTACAAATGGGGGAATGGGGTGTTATTTATAGTAGCAATAAATGCCAGACAGTGACACGTGTCAAGCATCCATTGGCCGAGGGGTCACCTCAACTGGTTGGCGTTGGCAATCGCATGTGGCCGCATTTAATGCGGCTGTTGGATGTGACGTCGTACTTGGTACGGTGATCTATACGCACATGGAGCGGATATTATGTCGGAAAAGGTGCCCTCGGCTGTAGGTGATCAGCCGAGGGCTCTGAGTACCGGGGACCTCCTTAGTGCCGAGGGCTATTGTTTTCCGCCGTTTTCTCCCAGTAACTTTGTTTTCCTGTTTTGACCCTCCTGTGAGAATCAGAGCCTTCGGCCAGGGGGCCGAAGGCACCCCTGATGCGCATTTGTGGGCTGCTTGGTACTCTGGGCGCCGTGATTTGGGCCTGTTGTGCTTCCTGGGCCTATTGGGCCTTTATTGGAGTAGTAGGAGTCTGTGGGTCGGGGGTTCCCGGGCCATATACTCCATCACGAGTCCCTCACTCCTTTTGCCGAAAGGTACTTGAGGAAAAAGGAGTAATTGTGTTTGTCCTCTGCTGTTGTTCCGTTGTAATTTGTAGTGTTGTGGGTAGTTTGTTGTTTGTTTATTCTGCCGAGGGCAGTTCCTCAGTTACCCACATGTCGGGACTTGAGGGGGCATGTTTGCTGTTTGCGGGAGTTTTTGACATTTTGCACTTTTTTGTGATTTTTCCCGAGGGGGGTTCTCCAGTCCCTCACTCGTTGAGGCACTTGCAAAGTGGTGAAAAGGAGTAGAGTAATCGTGTTGTTGTATTGGGCCGAAGGCTGACGCTTTTCGCTTCATTTTGGGGGGATGCCTCGTTAAAAATCTCATTAGGAAAAACCCTGTGGGAAAAAATCCTAATGAGGGAAAAAGAGTGCACCGAATTCCCCCAACGATGAATCGAAAACGTGAAGCCCTGGTTCGAAATGGAGTACAATGCTGATGCCGAAAGCTATCCTTGTTCTGAGGGCGCATGTGTTGATTAGCCGGAGGCTTGCTGTTGATATCCTGGGAGGTGCCGAAGGGGAGTCCCTCAATCTGGGGATCGAGGGTGTGACGAATGTGATTAGTAGTTGAAGCGTTACCGGGGTGTCCCCTGTTCGTTGATTAGTTGGTGAGGAGGGTATCCGAGGGCTCCCGTTACCTGTGTGTCGTAGGCTATCCGTCAATGAGGTGTACTCCCCGGGGGCTACCCGGCCCTCAAAGTGCTGAGGGGGGATCCCCGAGGGGTGTGCCTGTTATGAAGCCGTGGGCTTCTGAAGGAGTGAGCCCGAAGGCATTCGTTATGTAGTGTGAGGGGCACAAGCCGGGAGCGTCTCTGGGTAAGTGTACCCGGGGGCTCTTCTTGATGAAGTGGAGTGAAGTAAAAAGCCCGGGGGCTAGTTCCTTGGTTGATGAAGGAGTGGGCTGCTAAATATAGCCGGAGGCTCCCATAATATAGTCGTTGTGAATATAGCCGTTGGAATACCTAACGTCAAAATATAGTCGTTAGGGGGGGCTTCCACGTGGTGCGTGCTCGTTGGCTGCCTGTGGGCGGGTGTCACCGATTGGGCAACACATCGGTTGGTAATGATGATTTTGTACCGGAGGCCCGGTATTCAGGCCCAAGCCCGGATTTGGGCGCCTATAAATACCCCATGGCCGGGCATCACTTCCCCTGTGCGATATCATTGTAGCAAAGCTCTGCCGGATTTTTCCTAGAGAGAGAAACACTTGCCCTCGATCTAACTCATGTTCCAAGGTCAGTTCCCACCTGCTCTTCTCCTCTCTTAGTTAGTTGTGCCCTGTGTCCTTAGGTTAGGAGTTAGAACTTAGAACACTTAGTATTTCCGAGCCCTCGACCCAGTGGAAAGATGTCTTCTCAGAGTGATTCTCAGGACATATCGAGGGATCCCTCGATGGAAGAGGAGAGCTTCTCGGATGTGGGGTCCTCGAGCGAGCAACCCTCGGCCCCGGAGGATGTCGCGATGGCCATGGAGGTGCAGAAGGAGTTGGTGGCTGAAGTTGAAGCCGAGGGCTTCGAGCAAGAGGCGGAGGATGAAGAGCTTGCCCTCGCCGTACAAGTTGCAGAGGAGGAAGAGAAGGAGAGGATGAGAGTGACAGTGGCTGTCCCCCCCCCCCCCCCCCCCCCCCCGTGGTTCTAGTGAGGCAGGGAGCTCTCGGCCCCTCAACCCGACGCCGATAGGAGTGGCCCCCGGGAATAAACAGGAGAAGAAGAAAGCTGCTCCCAAGAAGAAGTGCGTCACTGCTGATCAAGGAAAGCCCATCAATGTGCCCGAGGGGTATTCCTGGCTGAATACTGCTGCCCTCGAGATAGGGTCGAAGGATGATCGGGAAGATCTGTACGTGACTCAGTTGCACGTGGGGCCTTCGGCTATGGTGGTGGCGCCAAGTCCTGATGATGTGCTCTCCCGGGCTCCCGAGGGTTGCATCGCTGTGCACATTCTGTCGGTATCAATGGGGCTCCGGTTCCCCCTACACCCATTCCTTCGGGAATACCTTCGGTATGTGGGTTTGGTCCCCTCCAGTTGACGCCCAATAGCCACTCCTACGTGGCGGGTTTTCTAAATCTCTGTCGGGCCCAAGGGGTGACCCCCAGCCTGGACTTGTTTTTCCAGAGCTTCAACCTCTATCGAGGGGGTTACGCGAATGCCGAGGGCTTCGCCAATCTGCAGCAGATAGCCCGGTGGAAACTATTCACATAAGCGCCCTCGTCCAATAAAGGCTGGAAGGAGCGGTGGTGCTATGTCAGAATTGCCGAGAGCCCATTCCCGATGGAACTTCGAGATCGCTTCTGTCGGCATCCGAAGGTTGGGAACGCTGCTTTGGAGAAGGATGGCTTGATAATAGTCAAGATCCCAGAGGGTCGTACGAAGCAAGTGTCCATTAAGGACTATACTGCTGACAAGGAGCTTTTCGCCCTCGGCTTCCGCAGATATCGCTTCCTCGGTGAGACAGACGAGAAGTATCTTGTGTTGGACAAGGCTCTCGAGGGAGCAGGAGGTAGTAGCTGAGGGAGCAGGAGGTTGTACTTCGGATTTTTTCCTCCTTTTTTTTTGCTTTCTTGCCCTTCGGTCTAACCTTTTTTTTGTTGGCAGGTGTGAATATGGACGCCGGGAAGCTCTTCGCTTTGAAGAAAAAGAAGGGCAAGGTCCAAGCCCAGAAGAAGGACCCCTCGGTCCAGCAGCCTGTGGAAGCCTTCTTTCAGAAGGAGACTCCGGAACCCTCTGCTGCGGAGGGAGTTACCGGGGTGGCCGAGGGGGCCACCAAAAAGAAGAAGGGCAGCAAGGCGGTTGAGCCCCCTGCCAAGAAGCAGAGGGGTACCGGGGCACTATCGGCCAGGATGCCCCCTTGGTGATCATTGAGGATCGCCCTTCTCCGGATCCCCCGGTTGGTGCCGCGGCGACAGCTCAAGCCGATCTTCCATTGGGAAGCCTCCCCCGGGAGATTCTGCAGCTTTCCTTGGCCCCGGGGGGCTTCTGTGCTACACGGCTCAGCAGAGCCGAAGGCCTTCCTGAGGGGGATGACCCCGACGATGGACAAGGCCGCCCTCTCGACTTATGATGATGCGGCCCTCGAGAACAAGATCCTTCGATCTTCGTTAGCTGTAAGTTTCCTCCTTCGCTTTGTGTTTTAACCTTTAATGCGTTGTCCATGCTAATCTAACCCCTCCGTCTGTTGTCTATCAGGCTTGTGTAGCCCTCGGGGAGCACGCTCAGAGACTCGAGCAATGGCGCCTTCAGAAAGTGGAGCAGGATCGGGAAATGAAGGAGCTTATCCTGAAGAACTCTGATGCTGTGAAGCAGATGGCCTCGCTGGAGGAAGATCTCCGGAAGGCTGCCGAAGGTGCTGAGCTGAAGGCCAAGGCTGCTGTGGGGGGGGCCAGGCTCGAGGCCGAGGGGGCAGCCAAGAAAGCTGCCGAGGAGGCAGAGCTTGCCAAGGCCGAGGCCGTCGCCAAAGCCCGAGAGGAGGCTGTTGCCGCGTTCATGGCCGAGGGCTGGAAAACCGAAGACAGGCGGCAGTGGGTGGCCTCGGTCGTGGAGTCTTCGGTTGATGACTGGGTGAAGGGCCCCGGGGCCGACTGGATGGCAGAGAGGGGAGACAGCTACTACTAGGGGGCGAGTTCTTCACCCAGCAACAGGTGTACCGGAGGCTCGCCAGGCATTTCAAAGTCCCCCTCGAGGAGTTCGACCCCTCGGCGTACGGCCTTCCCGCTTTGCAGCCAGATGTAAGAAACCCCCTCCCCCCATGCGAAGAGAGGCCTGTGATCCACGACTCCATGA